ATTGATGAAATTGATTCTTTGTGTGGTTCAAGAAGTGAAAATGAAAGTGAAGCTGCACGTAGAATTAAGACAGAGTTCCTAGTTCAAATGCAAGGTAATATTACTGATTTTTAAAATTGTCCCTGTTTATTGTATAACTGTTATTTTCTAACAATAATGGGGGAAAAACTCAAGCAGAATTTCTCCACTCTTAATAAACTGATCATTATGCCATGTTTCCTTCTGATAGGTTCCATATGCCTACATAATTTTACCCAGTTGTAATCATCTCGTAGGGCTCACTTATACAAATAGTAAAGAGATTAAATTTTGCTGTAACATATTTGGAACAGTATTAGTAAAAGTAATATGTAGACTTCAACTGAAATCTTTTAAGAGCCATTTTGGAAAGAATACTGCTGGTATTGTCCACAATTTAGGAGATTTTACTCTTGGGAACATATTTGCATCATATTGCAATAGTGTCATATTTGAGTAAATATAATTTTTTCAGACAGAGACTCTAAAGATGAGACACTTTAGTGTTAAAGCCCGCATTTCTTAATAGAACATGGGGAAGAGATTTAGTTTAAAATGACAAATTATTTAAAATATTACCTATTTTAATGCAGGGGTTGGTGTGGACAATGATGGAATTTTGGTTCTGGGAGCTACAAATATACCCTGGGTTCTGGATTCTGCCATTAGGCGAAGGTATGATGATCCAGTAAATTCCTTATTTCTGCTGCAGATACAACAAAGGAAATGATAATTCCTCTTTTTAGAGTGAGGAGTCATTCTGATCACATTTCACAGAAGTTGCTCTCCTGCCTTGGGAAAAGAGGGGGGAGGTTATGCACTTGTTTGCTTGCCTGCTGTATCAAAGACAGAAGATTTCCATACACTGCAGTCTTTCACACTGGAAAATACATTACCTAAGGCTTAACCTTTAGTTCAGATTAAGCTTAGCAGGCACTGATGCTTCAAAAATTTACAGTTACAGTTTGGTATTTCTGTAAAATCCTTTCATATATAAAATTTTAGTAAAATGGCCATTATATAAGTCAAAGTACGATAACCAAGGTAGATTTTTTACTAAAAAAATTTCTCTTTTTTAAGTTGAATATGAAACTTCAGGTGTAAGAAAGGCATGCTGATGCCTCACCTTCCACTGCTTCATGGTTTTATGCATTTTAAGCATTTAATTTTGTATGGTAAAAATTAGCGCTGCATTTTTGCTACATTTAATGCTATTCATCATGGTTTGCCAAGATGCTAGATTACTTTCTAATACCAAAAAAGCAAATGTGCTGGATACTTTTGAATAATGGCTTAATTCTAAACTTATCTCTAGAGGTCATAGAAACTTTTAAAATTGTCATTGCCCTCATTGCCACAGAGAGTTACCTAAGAGAGTAAAGTCTGTACAGACCAGCCACTTAAATTGTCCCTCATTGCTTATTCCTGTCTCCATATACTAAAATTCTAAGAAGAAAAGCAGAATTATTATTAATATAATGTTTATAATATGGAATTATTTGTTCTGAATATATTCATTATAATTGCATGAATATTTTTGTGAAATAAATACATGCATATTCTATAAGATTTTGAGTAATTTTACTGTTTTAAATTTAGGGAACTAATTATCAACTCCTATTTAAAATTGTTAATCTTAACCCCTTCCTGGATCAAGAGTTCAGAGTACAATTCCATGAGAAACTAATCCTCTAGGGCATGCCTTTTTATGTCATGAATTCTAGACGAATAAACACAATGGTCAAAATAACACGAAAGTCATGTGAGAAAGACTAAACCCTCCAAGGTAGTTCCCTGGCTATTTTGATTTTGTTTGTTTCTACACATTACATGCCCTGTGAGTTGCTAGAGTTGTGATCGTGAGGCCTTGAAAAGCATATATATGCTTTTGACCTAATGTCTCTTAGGTCATTAGGTCTCTTGACCTGATAAAACACCATGGTCTCAAGGACATTGTTTTTCTAGTGTGGCAGTCAACGTGTTAATGTGTTCTGGACATTCTCCCTTTATCTAGCCTAAATATCTATGTTTAACCTTGGCACATATAGATTCACCTAACTATTCAACTCAAATTGTTGCAATTGAGAATAGCTAAATACCTGTTTCTTCTTAAAAATACCTTAATTTTCAATTAAAATTAAGTATAATATCCTTGATGTAATTTATCTTTTAAGATTTGAAAAACGAATTTATATTCCTTTGCCGGAAGCCCATGCCCGAGCAGCAATGTTTAAATTGCACCTGGGGACCACTCAGAACAGTCTAACAGAAACAGACTTCCGAGAACTTGGGAAGAAAACTGACGGTTATTCAGGGGCAGATATAAGCATCATTGTACGTGATGCACTTATGCAGCCTGTTAGAAAAGTGCAGTCAGCTACTCATTTTAAAAAGGTAGGTCTCCTATATCTATCCTTTCGTATATTTTGTATTCAAAGAATTTGGAAGCATTTCAGTGTGTTATAAGTACTTACAGTAAGCAGGTTTATGTAATAGAAATTTATGTCTGTTTCACTGAAATAAATTATCCAATCAAGTTTATTTATGAATAGCCATTATCAATAGTCTTAATGTGTCTTAAATTTCTCAGTGACTATGGATCACCAGTTATAGTAGACATCTCAGTGGCTCCATCCTTTACTCTTTTATTTTTATTTATTTTATTTATTTATTTATTATTATTATTTTTTTTTTTTGCAGTTTTTGGCCAGGGCTGGGTTTGAACCCATTACCTCCAGCATATAGGGCCAGTGCCCTACTCCTTTGAGCCACAGGCACCACCCATCCTTTACTCTTTTTAAGGCTAATTATTTCAATTAGCAAAAATAATTTTTGCCTGTTTATTTTTTTTATTTATCCAGCAGGGGATTGGGCCACCTGCAGATTATTTGAGGACTGTTTTGCTTATCTTTGTTGTCAGATATTGCAGAAACTATGCATGGGCCTTTGTTTTGTTTTTTGCTCATTAGCTTTCATTAGTGTTTTTGTATTTAATGTTTGGTCTGAGACAAGTTATTCTTCTAGGGTGCAGCAGAAAAGAAAAATGGCTGGACCCCCCTGGTTGATCTGGACCCCAGAGGTAGATCAGAATAAATAGCAGTCAAAAAGGACAAAAATCCCTGACCTCATGCAGCTGAAATTTTTGTGAGGAAAGACAGACAATAAAATATACGTAATAAGTAAAGTAAGAATGTGTATTTCTCCACACCTACACCAATTGTGAAATAATACTTAAAGTTAATCATTCTAAAACAGATCTGAAATAGCCCCCAATATGATACAAATTTATTTGCCATCTAAAATATATTACATGGGCAGCATCTGTGGCTTACTGGGTAGGGTGCTGACCCCATATACCAAGGGTAGCGGGTTGGAATCTGGCCCTGGTCAAACTGCAACAACAACAACAAATAGCCGGGCATGGTGGTGGGTACCTGTAGTCCTAGCTATTTGAGAGGCTAAGGCAAGAGAATTGCCTAAGCCCAGGAGTTGGAGGTTGCTGCAAGCTGTGATGCCAGGGCACTCTACCCAGGGTGATAAAGTGAGACTCTGTCTCTAAAGAATAAAATAAAACACATTACACATCATAAAATGACATTGCAGTTACATTTAATATTTAATTTTGTGCTTATATTTGAAAGAGTTTTTGTTGACAGACAAAAAGATTCGGTAATTTTAAACTAAAGCTGCCAAATATCATAGAATTTTCTCAGTAATGGACAGCAAAGCAACTTACAAGAATTATTTATTTGGGTCTATTTTTGGTCTCTAAGATTACTATCACTTTTAAGAAGTAGAAGGAAAAAATGGAAAGTTTAGCCACAGGTAACTCTTGCTTCTTCTTCTTTTTTTTTTTTTTTAACTCATTTTCTGCATGTATATAAGTAATTTTTGGTAGGAAATTTCAAAACATAGAAAATCATCAAGAAAAAAACTAAAACCAACCAAAACTCTATCCTGTTACCTAGAGAAAACTACTCTTTGTTGTATATTCTCAGTTTTTTTCAGGAGTAAATATTTAAACCAAACATACAAAAATATTAATACATTTTTAACTTTCCTATTGTTGGCCTAAATCTTAATGTGTATTTAATTTGTTCAAGTAAATATTTCAGGTTGCTATTTATTTCAGGTTCGTGGACCTTCCCGAGCTGACCCTAACAGTCTCGTAGATGATCTTCTAACACCCTGCTCTCCAGGCGACCCTGGTGCCATTGAAATGACATGGATGGATGTCCCTGGGGATAAACTTTTGGAGCCAGTGGTTTCCATGGTTCGAAATTTTATTTGTTTTTAAGAAAACATTTAAAACATTATATTTTATAATTTGCCAAAAATAAAATTTTCCATTAATATGTAACTTGCTGGGAAATGTTAGTATGAACAGGCATCTTTATTTAATACTGTTGACTCATGGTTCGCACCTGTTTTCGTTTCTCCTAACACTTTGGGAGGCGAAGGTAGGAGGGTCACTTCAGCTCAGGGGTTTGGAGATGCAGTGAGCGACCATGATGCCGCTGTACTCTAATTTGGGCAATAGCATAAGACCCTGTCTCTCACTGAATGAATGAATAATTGAACTTAAAATATTTTAAAAATTATTTTAAAGATTTTTTTGTAGAGACAAGGTCTTGCTCTGTTACCCAAGCTAGAGTACAGTGGCAGGATCATAGCCAACTCCTGGGCTCAAGAGATCTTACCATTTTGGCCTCCCAAAGTGCTGGAATTACAGGCATGAACTACCAGCCAAAAATTATTTTTAAAATACTTTCTTGGGCTTTGATGAAACTTGTAAGTGAAAAGGCTAAAAGCTAATTTTTTTTTAAATAAAGGTTTCTGACTTTAAGTCTTATACGTTAATATTATTTTCAAAATGCTTACATATATATAAATTACTGTCAAGACTTAACTAAAAAGTAGAATTAGTGAAAAATTTTTCCCTGAATCTCACATTGTTAAAAAAATAATCAGAAATGCTAATGCTTGTATCACTGTATTCAAGGAGGTTTTTTTTTTTTTTTTCTGTTTTACTTTTCTAGGTTCCATAGAAAGTTTAAGTAATGGCAGTTCTTAAAAATTTTAAATAAATTTAAACAACTTTTATTACAAAAATAACATTTTTATGGTTTTTATTGAGGAATTAATTGTAGGTCTTTATTGTTTTGTAAGGTATATTGTTTTTGGAAAGCTTAGGGAGATTGAAAATTTATATTGATGATGTTTTCTTTTTAATGAACGCTCTCAATTTTTAAAATTTTCTGTGATAGTGATAGATTTTTCGAAGAACTTTATGGTAAGTTTAACAATAACTTCCAGAGCAGAAATATTTGTATGCTATGCAGACATAGTCATATAGATATATATGTATGTATGTACACATCTATATATTTATGCTAATTAATCATAGTGTTTATCTGAGTGTCAGTCCTTGATATATTTAAGTTTGTGCTCTCTGTCCAGCTTTGAAAAATTGACAGTAACTTAAGAGTGGTCTCTCATTATTTTCCATGCTCTTTACAGGAGATAATAGCTTAAAAATTAGTTTTTTAATGAATCTCTGATACAAGCATATTTTCTTACCATTTCAATCTTAATTTTAACTAATTCTTTTTAAATTCTGATTAGTTGATTTTACCAAAATAATATTCTCCTTTATTTAAGTTTAAGTGAATACCCACATTCCTTTTGAATTGTACTTACTTAGAAAACTAATCTCTTGTTTAAGAAAAACAGATAAGGCCAGAAAATAGATCATGAATATACCTTGGAGGAGCTAAGTCCTCAAGCTAAGAGGATTATACTTCTGATAGGTAATGGGAAGCCACGGAAAGGTTTTGATGAATTCAGGGAAAGAAATCGGAAGTTTCAACACAAAAGAATAACGTATCAAAGATATCTTTTAGAAAGAATAAGGGAGTTTAATTGTCAATATCTTAGGGCAAACTGCAGATTTAGATTAAAGTTAGTAATAATAATGATGGTGCAATGATTTTTTTAATTTCTTCAATCTATCATTAATATAACCCTCCTCCCTTCTTTTCTCTGACAGTCGGATATGTTGCGGTCACTCTCTAACACAAAACCTACAGTCAATGAACACGACTTGTTGAAATTAAAGAAGTTTACAGAAGATTTTGGTCAAGAAGGCTAAACCAAAGATGACGAGGATGTTTACCATATGTATTGTTTCTTTCATAGATATTTTCGCCTTTCTTGAATAGCATCCAGATTATTTCCAGTGAAACTCCTTTACCACAGGGAAATTATACATCTTACTTCAGAGTTCCTTTAAGTTTTATATTGTACTTTTTCTCCATTATGTATCAAATGCTCCTATTAACAAAAAGTATAAAATAATAGGTTATAAAGAAATGAGTGATAC